TAAATTTATTATATGTATATAAACAAAATAAAAATAAAAAATTAAAAATATAATATATATACAAAAAAAAGCACATATAGAAAACATAAAAAAATCTTTATAGACTGATTTCTCATTATGGACGGGTATACAAAAAAACAACAAAAATTGTCGAAATAGAGAACAAATTGTATTGCAATTAAATGAAATGAAACGAAAATGACGTTAAAACAGAGCCCGTTCCCGTTGCAATGTCGCGCATATTGTGGGCGGGGGGGGAGGATGCGCCAGCCAGCCGCAATTTATGCGACATTGCAGCGGGTACAGTGTCTGCAGTAAATAAATTCATTTGTGAAAGGGACCCTTGCGCAACGAGTCGAGGGGACGGAACTGGAACGATAGCCAGAGATTGCGACGCGCGAAGTCCCTCTGGCTGGACGGTATATAGGCGAAGTAGGTCTTCGGATTTATCATCGGCCTCGGGGCATAGTTGCGCAAAGCGAGCCAAGTGATACGTGAATCCTGCAGATCCCGCTCGTTCAATCGATTGTGATATTCTTCGCGCATTTGCTCGAACCGGCATAAGAACGTCTTATCGTCGCAGTTGGCGTCGGGTGTACAGCAGAATTCAACGTCTTTGGGTTCGGGGAACTGTCCAGGGGGCCGATTAATTTTCAGCAGGGCGAGCACCTGTTTCGTTGTCAGCGTGGGCATCGTATCATGCCTGAAGACCTTGCCGTAGCGCCGCGCCACCCAGTCCACAAGCTCCGGCATCTTGTGGGCATTGGGCAGAGTGACGAGCACGTAGCGTGAATCATTCCTGAGGATGTCCATTGCCCTATTGAGCAGCTCCAACAGCTGTTGCCGATTCTCCGGATCGATATTGGTCACTTGCAAGCGCTCCGATTCTTCACGAGGAGGCGAAGGAGTCTCCACCGGATCTGCCAGTCCATTCGACTTGCCAGCGCGAAACGCTTGCCGGGCACTCTTCACGGCGGCTTCGAGTGCCACGCTGGAGACGTGCCGCTGTTGCCAGAGTATGCGCTCCCTATGCTTCTTGCCATAGATCTTTGCCGCCTGCTTCTCCTCTTCGCCCTCCATGGCCTTCTGCAGCGCCGCCACGCAATAGCTGCGTATTATCGGCTGCGGATCGGTGTACCTGAGATCCGCCGCGAAATGTTGAGCGGCTGGTCCATAGATCCGAAAGAAGTTCCAGGCCAGCCTGCCGTTGGGCATGTAGCGGCGGAAGCAATGCTCATCTCCCTGCGAACTGGACGAGCCCGTCGACGGCACCTCCGGCGCAACATCCTCGACCACTTTGGGTGCTGGCTTCTCGCATACCTCTGGCTGTACCACTGGCTTCTCCACGGGCTTAGCCGGTGGCCCTGGACAGCTGTAGCTGTCGTCCTTTAGCAGGTGGATGGTCTTGTGCTCGTGCTCCTTGCCCAGTGTCATGACGTGTATGCTGTTCAGATCCTTCGGATGGGGCGCCGGATGACCGTACGATACGGTGCTGTTCGATTGATCTGTCATTAGCAAGGGCAAAATGCAGCCGCCCTCCTTGGCATCCGTCGGGCTGATCATCTCCGGCATTGCGACCAGCTGGACACACATCTTGCAGTGGCCCTTGCACGCATGGACCTCCTCGCGCATCGACCTCTGCACCTTCATCAGGTGCTGCATGCGGTGCATCTCCAATTTCTTGGCCGCCTGCATGACCTCGCGCTCCAACTGACGCACGATGCGTTCGCTGCGCACGCGCTTCTCTCGGCTCTGCACGCTCACCATTTCCAGGCAACGATGCAGTGCATCTGTGGTCAGCTCATGTTGCTTTCGGACGAGATCGCGTTGCACCATGCGATGCACACTGCATAGCGATTTATCCACTGATCTGTGCTCCTTGCCAAAGATCTGATCGATTGCTTGCAACAGGCATTTCTTGACCTCGCGCTTGATCGGCGATATTTCGTAGTCGGCAAACCAACGGGTCTGCTCGTTGGGTATATCGTTGACCCGCGAGGGTCGCTTACGCTCATTGGGATTAAATGCCTTGGCCAGGGGAACGAAGCGCCTGGGTCGCACCTGCGGCTTCATGTATGGCGAATCATCGGCCGGCTCATTGAGTCCCTCATTGAGCCGCTGCTCCGTCCGCCTCCTCTCCTTCCGGTCCAGCTTCTCCTGCAGGCGGTGCAGACGCTGCTGATACTTTTTCCCATGCTCCGGCAATGGCAAGATCTTGTCCAGACCGCGCTTAGTCATCGCCATGTCCAGATGGGCGATGCCCGTCAATAGGAGCTGCTCGTTGCATCTGTATGTCCGCCTCGCCGAATCAAGGGGACGCCGGTCCTTGTAGTATGCCTCCCACAGAAACCAGAGAAACGCCAAGTCACTGCCCCGACTTAAGTCTACGATGAGCTTCAGCTGCTTCGAGCTGGGAGACGGGTACAGGCCCAGCGCCTTGAGGCACTCCTCCACCCGGTACGTGGTGTGCTCATCAATATCGTCGCGCAGTGCATTCAACAGTGCATCGCATGCCCGGAACTGCTCCACGGACATGTTGCGATACCAACGCAACGATTTTTCCACATCTTGAAATTCGTCCATTCCCCGATTGCGACGATGGAGATGAGGCCAATGATATATCTCCTATCTTGACAATCGAACCAAATTTTTTGTTTTATTTTTTTATTTCTTTTTCTAATTATTCAAAGTAAAATATTTTTTACTGACAATTTAGACATCCACTTGAACTATCTATTTTCTACTTTATCTTTCTATTTTATATTATATATACTTTGGGTATATTAAAGAAAAACTGGTGAAAATGTTGCACAATACTCATCCCGGATCAAGAAAAAAACCATTAAAGCCGCTGAATTAATTTTTTTTTTTTTAGTTTGAATCTAGCTAAAGGATAGACCATATACGTTTTTAATCAATGATAATTATAATAA